TCTCTCATCTCACAACAACAACAACAACAACAACAACAACAACAACAACAACAACAACAACAACAACAACAACAACAACAACAACAACAACAACAACAACAACAACAACAACAACAACAACAAAGCATAGACTACAAAAACTATTCCAACCCAATCACCACCATCAGCTTCACTCGCTCACTTTCTCAACCAATAGGTGTACATTCGAGTCCAGCAAGGGCATCGGGTGTCTTGTAGGAACAGATTCAGTCCTCCAGGTGAGAACGACGACGCAGCGTAAAAGTCTCCTCGATCGATCTCAAACTTCTCCTGCTCCAGATGTCTCGATGCAAGGTCCAACTATGTGGCTCCGACGGAATCGCTGTAATGGAAGGAGGCGCTTTAACTGTCAATGGTCGAAATTTTCATCACTTCTCCTTCTTACTCCTCTGCTCCCCTCCCCTCCCCTCCTCCCTCCACTCCACTCCCTCCCTCCCTCCCTCCCTCCCCTCTTCATCCCCATCATCTCCCCATCCTCCCCATAGTCCTCACTCCCTTTCTTCCAGACACTCTCGTCTCCGACAACGGCGAGAACGGCATCTACGTACAGGGGAAAGGAAGCATTGCCCGAATTTACGTAAGCGAACTCTCCTTCTACACAGTGCTGTGGAGTGGAACTAGAACCATGACGATCTGTCCAGCGCTGCAATCTCATCAAGAACCAGGAGAACGGGGCAGCGAACTTGTTCCTCGGAACTATGTTCCTCTCCAATTCCATCCTCCAGGCTAACCGCAAGAACGGCCTACACGTGTGTGGAAATCGAGTCTTCGTCTCTCCCTGGTAGACTGCGCTCCCATCTTCCTCCTCCTTCTGGTCCTTTATCTCCTACTCTTCCTCCTCCTCCTTCTCCTTCTCCTCCACCTCCACCACCTCCACCTCCACCTCCACCTCCACAACCTACCTCCTCCTCCTCCTCCTCCTCCTCCTCCTCCTCCTCCTCCTCCTCCTCCTCCTCTTCCTCCTCCTCCTCCTCCTCCTGTTCCTTTACCTCTTCCTCCTTCTCTTCCTCGTTGTCTTCTTCCTATGTACGCTCTGATCCCCTACTGCTCCTGCTGCTCTCTTTCGTTCTCCTCCTTCCTCTTCCTCTTCCTCCTTCCTGCCTCTCCTCCTCCTACCACTCATGTCGATTCAGGAATGGGGTGAACATCAACACAGAAGCCCAGGGGGAGGCTAACGTGCAAAACTCCATTCTTCTCTCCTTCCCTTCCCTCACGCGGCTCATAGGCTGAAGCTTCCAAATGCACCTTCAAGAACAACATGGACAACGGAATTCACGTGACTATGTCATCAACTCCCTCCCTCCCTCCTCCCTCCTCCCCTCCCTCTCATCTCCTCCCACCACCACCACCGCCACCGCCTCTTCCTTCTCCTCCATTCCTCCTCCTCGTCCTCTTCACCACCATCGTCGTCATCATCATCATCACTTTCCCTTGCAGTTCCGCGAGGCGCAAGATACAGCGCTCTTGAGGCCCTTCAGCCCTATCACAAACATCGCAAGCTCCACCTCCCACGACTCGGAAAATCTTCTCCTCCTCCATGCCACTGACGGCATGCGAGACTTTGAGACGCAGTCACGTACCTCTCCCTCCTCTCCTAGTCGATCTCTGACCCTGCTGCAAGTTTCGGATACGATCCACCCCGAGGACATCCGGGCCGCGGCCAACGCAAATGAGGAGGAGCTGGAGGAGGAGGAGGAGGAGAGTTTCAACGCAGACGAGTTGCCTGACAAGGTAGAGGACGAGGACTTCGAGCGAGGCTGACGGAGTTTCACAGCCGACGAAAGCTAAGGTAGTGGAGGAACGGATATTGCGCAGCAGCCAAGACTTGGACCTCTACTGAGACTAAGAGGGCGGAGCGGGTTCGTGGACTGTGAGCAGAGCAGGGTGGCGAGCTATACAGAGATGTCGTTGTTGTCCCTTGCGATCCCATCCATCTGAAGAATCTGGAGAGACGATAAAAGTTTGAAAACTTGAAGGAGCAGTGAACAAACACCTTCTCCTCCAACCAGAACGCCTTGTGCTTGCATCGAGACAGTTCCCTGAGCATCTCTTCTTCTCTCGCTTCCAGTTTCTGTGCTCCAAGTCAACACAGTCAGAGGCATCGGGGAGGAGGAACGAGCCTCGCATCTCGTTCTCAGCTGGTGGTTCTCCCTCCTCAAGGCCTCCAGCGCGTCTGACGTGCTCTTACTCCCGCCCGCTTGCCTCTCCATCAAGACTTCGAGCACTGCTAAGGATAACGAGCAAGAGTCCAGTCGCTCGTCAAACATCCTTTGCAACTTCTCCGTCTCTGCCTGCAGCAGGTCCTGGTGTTCAGATTCCTTGCACCTGCAACATCTCACAGGCTCTTCACCTGCTTTCCTTGGTGCCAGCACTTTTCAGGTACGAGCGACAACCATTCCTCGACAACACGAGCCTTCCTTGTGCTCGCTGTCTTCTTCGCAAAGTCCTCGTACTTTCTCCTCCAATCATGCCTCGCCCTCCACCACCACAAACTCTCTTCCTTCTGCGGCGTTCTAGTCAGTCCAGCCCGTACACATGTCATACTCACTATCCTCGCCGCCCGCCTCGCTTCCAGTCGGCATATCCTCGTTCCCTCCCTCCAGGCTCTGCATGCACTTCCTATCTGCGGCGATCGTGTCAGTCCCAACCTCACGACTTGACAAGGAAGTTTACGACCAGTCGTCGTCTGCCTGCAATCACCCACTTGCTGAAAAGGCTCGTCAACCTGCGAGATGAGATCACCTCCTTCGTCCCTCCCTTCCCCTTGGTGGTCACCGCTCACAGTCTGCAGGATCCGAGAACCTCTCGAGGAGGAACAAGAGAGATTTCATCAAGCTCGCTGATCGGTACCGGCTGCCATGACGCAACATTCTTCCATTCACATCCTCCTCCCTCCTCCCCCTCAGCTTCTCCTGGTCCTCGAGCCCTACTCTCCCCTGCTCCTCCCCTGCACGGCTTCTTCCTCTTCTCCAGCTCTGTCCTCGCCCTCCTCCGAACTTCCCTCGCACCTCCCCCCCCGTGAACTGCTTCATCGCCGCCGCCAGTCGCTCCGTCGCCATCCCGACCGGCCCTAAAGGTAAACCAGACCTCACCGGGAATCGGGAATCACCCGGCGACCTCGGCGAATCACTGAGCTCAGTGCCTCGGGCCCGGTGACTGAGTCACACAGTGACTACTCAGTTGAACTAGATCAGGCTGCCTGAGCCTGATGATGGCTACATTGAACTATCAGTGGGGTCACTGAGCATATGATGGTGAAATATCCTGCCCGTCACGGCATGCACTGAGACTCAGCTTAGTCACGCGGACGCGGACAGTCACTAAGATACGGTCCAATGATGTCAATCAGTGAGTGGAATTTGTCTTGAGTGACAATCATTGAGTTCCGAGGTCAACACATCAACAGCTTTTTCATCACAAACAACAAACAAGCGCGTGACGTTGAGCTCAACGTCACTCAAGGACTCCTCTCTCCTCCTTACACGTTTGCAGACATGCCACTCTGCTGCGGACATCGAAATTTCAAGGGAGCGAAAGACTTTGAGGGAAGAAGAAGACTCACCGCTCCTCCCATCGCTCCTCCCATCCCATACTTCTTGAGCATACTCATGCCGATATCGAAGATCTTTTTCCAGTTGAAGCTACAAAGGCACGGTCAGTCTGATCAAAAACAATCGTCGACACGATGCTGCTTCTTACTTCCCGTTCATCGGCAAAGTCATGCCGCTCGTGTACTGAGTGGAAGCGTGAGCAGCTGGAGGAGGGAGGGAACAAGAGCTTACGTTCTGCGTGTTCTGGTCGTTCGCCGTGAAGCTGAAGGGAAGGTCGAGGATGGTGCCAGAATGACAGCAGTCCATGATGACGGTGAGCTTGACTCCTGCAGGGCGCAGTCACACCTTGCGAGCAGAAGCATTGCCTCTGCTACAACCCTGCGGCAGGGGAGCGACGAGCTCCTGGAAGATGATGTCGTCTCGAATCTGCCCAGTACTGCGTCCAACTCATGATCTGGCTTGTCGGAGGAACCAAGGTGTACCTGGTGTAGTCCACAGGCACCATCGTCTCGTCCATACCATCTGCTTCGTCCCCGTTGTCGTCCTTCATCGACCCGCCATGGCCCGAGTAATGCATGAAGAGGCAGTCCCCGCTCTTGGCATCTTTAACCAGCCACCTGGAGGCGACCAGGGTCAGGCGGAGCTGATCTTGCACGACTGGTTTCTCAATGACTTGATGCTGTCGAGGATGTTGGCGCGAGTAGGGTTCATGTTCGACCCGTCGTCCATGAGGACGCGCATAGATGCCTGCGCAGGAACGGGACGCGTCAACTGTGACCGCAACGGCTGCCAGCCTCCTCCAACCGGGTCGTAGCCGTTCTTGAGGATGTAATCCTTCATCTGCAGTACATCGTTGTGGCAGCCCCTCTGGAACACAGTCACTAAGGTCGACGAGCATGGGCAGCGTCAGCGTCGTCACCAGCTCTCCCTTCTGGCCGACGTAGTTGATGCCGATGAGCAACGCCTGTTCCCATCGCACACCATCAGCAGCCACACGTCGCACACAAGAGTGAACCTTGGTAGAAGAAGACGCTGCTGCAAGTTGGAAATTCCCGTCGAGGGAGATCTCCTTGCTCGAGGACAGCTGAGGGACCTGTAGGAACGGGAACAATCAGGACAGGATCTGGAGCAAAGGGAAGGACGTGGAAGGATAGGGGAAGGAGGAGGTTCAAGGAGGGAGGAGAACGAGGAGGAACGAGAGCGAGGAGGAACGAGAGCGAGGTGGGACGAGAGCGAGGAGGAACGAGAACGAGGAGGGAGGGAGGGGAGGGAGGGAGGGGACGGATGGATGGAGAGAAGAGACTGGACGAGGGGGCAGGACCTGGGTGAAGCCCTTCTCCTTCAAGATGGTTCGCATGCGGTTCAGCAGGTCAATCCAGGTTGGGTTGGGGTTCTCCGCTGTCCAACAAAGCATCATCAGCTTCAAGGATCCCGGGAGAGCGATGTGAACGTCTCACAGAGGGCAAGCATGATGGAGTTCGTGCAGGCTCCTCCTGCTCCTCCAGGACCAGAGTCCGCAGGGAGACCGAAGGAGCTCGTGTCGTAGACGTCCGCACTCGTCTGCTCGTCCCTGCAACGCTCGTCGGCCCTGCTCCCATCTCCTCCTCCCACCTCACCTGCATCCGCTGAACATGTGAACCTCGGCAGGGAGTGCCTGAGCTGCCTTCTGCTTGAAGTCTGTGGCGTTGCTCGTGCTGGGAAGGCTCGGCGTTTGCCTGCCATGGCAGGCAGCCGGCAGGGGTCAGCATGGTGGGCCGACAGGATACAAGAGCAGTTACCCAGAAGCCAAGGACTGGACCATTCCCATAAGACCCTGCATCCCGCCTACTGCATTCAGCGCCTGCGAGAGAGCGGAGTTCCCTCCTCCTGCCCCCATTGTATTCTGCATGTTTGGAGCTGCTCTCGTGGCGTTGGAAACCGCATTCTGCGCCTCATTCGTGGCGACTTTTTCAGCTTCAGCTTGAAGTTCTTTCGGGCAACAACCAAAGCAGTCCATGATGCGAGCAAAGGTTTACTGCGACTCAAAGTTAGTGCATTCCTTCCTTTTCAATTAAAACAGCTGTTCGATGCATGTTTCGAAGCTAGCATTGCCCTCCGAAAATCCTTCAGGCAACGTTTTCTCCCCCAGAGGACAAAATCTGCCACTCGCTCGGTCCAATCAACTCCATGAACGGCATGAAGAGGATGGATTGTCTCCGACAGCTACCCTGCTGAACTGCATGATATCGCCACTTCTACATCTTCTCCTCCCTCCCTGCCACACCTCACTCCTCCTCCACCCCCTTCCTTCCATCCTTGCTGCCATGCATGACAGCGCATTCCCGTCTGACTCCGACATCTCAGTGCGAAATTACCGGTTTGCCTGTTCAGCAGCGGACATACCTGCAAAGTTCAGATTATGTCCTCTAAATTTTGTTTTTTATTTTGATATTATAAAATAAATATTTCATCAATTGTGACATTTAATTTCAAATTATGTATTTCTGCTCCAAACTTTGGATGAGGGTAACCCCATGAAGAAACTTGCTTCCCGCACATTTGCAGGGCGCAATTGGAAAAAGGAAGGGTCGTGTCCTATTCTATTACATTCAATAAAAAAACTACAATTTCCCAATAGAATTTTTCCCAAATGTTTCAAAGATATCAATATTCTATCTTCATCATCCCGGAATTGCAATACAATCAACAGTTCTTTTATTGAGGTTCTATAGAAGGTCGCGACCCAGGGGGGTGGTAGTACAGAAGGTGGGTCTCGGGGGAAAGTGGGGGTCTGAACGGTCGCAACATAGGGTAGGGTACAAAAATCAATTCAGAGGGTTCCATCTCCTAGACGAAAGAGGGGTACTTATGCGGGGGAAAGGGGGGGTGGGGGAAGGGAAGTCCCGGAAGTTCCGAGTGAATTATGACTGGCCGACCGGCCAGCCGGGCCCGGGCCCGGGCCCGCACTGTCGTAATCAACTCAGCTCTGACTACGGGTTGTTCAGAATAGGTATTATGGGGTAGGTAGTCTGGGGGGTAGTACTGAAAGGGTGGGTACAATTTGAAGCTATTTGGAGGGGTAGTGAGTGCAGGCCCTCATACAGCAGGTAGCGAAGAGGCGCGATGGCCAGACAGGCGGTTGCTGCGGCGGCTGTGACCGGTAAGAAGAGAATGGAGGAGAGCGGATGGCATGAGGAGGAGGGTGGAAGTGAGGCAGAGAGCAAGAGGGCTTGAACAGGCAGACTTGATCAGGGGTATGAGGTGCAAATCACCAGGAGGGTCAGGAAAAATGGCGAGGGGACGAGCAAGGGAAGGGGCAGGTGGCGAGGTCTTGAGGTAGTGCATTGGCAAGGGAGAGGTGTAGGAAGGAGAGTTAAAAAATGAGGAGGTGGAAAGTGTACAAGTCTGTCGGATGTGACCTCCACTGGTAGCCACTTAGCTATCCGTCTCTTCTCACTTTGCTTCATAGGGCTGCTGCTGGCTACCACGCTAATTGCAGTTACCATTGTGTTGGTATCTGACTACAGAAAGATCTCTACTCTCCAACGTAGAGGCTATGGTGCAATGCTGGCGGCAGCTGAGGTGAATGATGTTCTTGTTCCTTCCAAGCTCGCTGTTTGACTGGGTATTGCGCAGAGCTCCCCACAGGACAAGGTACCTAGCAGCTCTTGCGAGCATTCGTGTTGATGTTTCTCATCTCGCTGATTACATATTGACACGTTTGCTGGGAATGTGCTCTGAGTTCTTTCACAGCTCAAGGAGTATCAAGCTCTCAACCCAACTTACGGTCGTTGCGCCAAGTCGGTTGACATGCAGGCCTTCTCCGACGACATCACCAAGGTGACATGGTTGGAGGCGTGAGAAATTTGGGGGCTGACCCGCTGATCAAGTCGTGCGGGAACATCCATGAGCTCTCCACCTGCTCCTACGTGTGCGCTGGTGATTGACGTCCGACAGCTGATGATCGACATTGTAACTTTGTTGCATTGCAGGCAAGATGCAGGACTGGACGAGGTCTATGGGATGCTGCTTCGAGACTGTCATGCAAGCCTACCAGGTTGGAGATGATGCGTGTGCCTCCCTCTTTTCACCATTCCGCAGTATGCGGAGCCCCAGGCCGAGCAGGCGTGGCGTCAGTGGCAGGGAACCCTCAGCGGGAAGGTGGGCAAGGAGCAAGTCTGATATGCCGATTGTGAAGTGCTTGCTCAGTGTGGCATCGTCTTCGAGGATGAAGATTGCGGTCAGTCGGTGGGCGAGCACGAGTTCAATGCTCTGAACAGCAAAGTTGATGTGAGTTTCGATCCCTTGCTCCTTCTCGTTCCCCTGATGTCCGATCCCTCCAGGCTATCGAGGATCAGGCGGAGAGGAACGAGGACGAGATCTACAACATCGCGTACAGCATCTATCCTCCCTACTACAACAACTACAACGACTACGGAAGCTACTACGGTTACAAGGGCAAGGCCTCGTCCCTTCAGTCGCCGCGCAAGGCGCTCCTGTCGGGCAACAACCTCGGCGACAACGTGATGGACTTGCCGGCTACCAAGGCCGAAGATCTCGGCGACGTCCATCTTCCGGTGACCGGGACGCTGGAGCTCTAGACTCTCCCGCTGACATGGTGGGCTGCAGTCTGAGAATGTCGCGCCCTACATGTACTCGAAGCACAAGCTTGACAAGAACAGAGGTATCCGAACGTCCCTTCCTCTTTCCTGATAATCTCCTCATTCTCCCCCCCCCCTCTACTCCTCCTTGTGCTCCTCCCTCTCCTCCCCTCTCCTCCTTCTCTTCCCCTCTCCTCCTCTCTTTCCCTCCCCCTTTGTTCTGTCTCTGTCCTCGCCCATGTTCCCCACGTACCGATATCTCACTGCCGTCCTCCAGCCTTGTTCCAGAACGCGCAGAGGATGAAAGTTGCTTCAGGGTCCAAGCTGGCTAATGTGAGTTTCTTTGTTCTTCTTGGCAGAACTTCCATGGAGCGTGAGGGCTGACAAGAACGAACAGGCATACGACGACTACCGCAACTACCAGAACAAGTTGCGCATCGACGAGGCTTTCAGGAACTCGATGCAGAACGACGGCCCCAAGAACTCTTTCTTCAACAGGTGTGTGTGTGTGTGTGATAGAGTGGGAGGGAGGGAGGGAGGGAGAGATTCCTGTCAGACCGGTATCTTCCATCGACCCGCCACCTCTTCTCCCCTGTTCTCTTCCTCTGCTGCTCTTCACTCCCCTACCTGCTGCGATGCTCTTGCCCTCTGCAGTGCTGAGTAGCTACTGGAGATGTGTCAAGATCTGACATTTCGGTTGCAGCTGGGGAGAGTCCTGGAAGAAGTCTCGAGGAATTCAGAGTCTTGCTGCCCAGGTTCGTAGCCCCTCCAAGGATCGGGGAGCCCAGGCTCTGAGGAGGGCTGGTGTGAATGTCTGAAGTTCCTTGCCCCCCTCCTCCTCCTTAGCATGATTGTATCATCATCTCCTCCTCCCCAGATGTCTCTGTTGGACTTGTGCTCTGTCTTGACTTCCTCGTCTTGTGTCTGGTTTATCGAGGGTTGTAATAAACAACTTTGAAGAGAGGATGCGTGTGTTGACCGATGGCAGTGAACGTGTTTTGTGTTTTCTTTCTCGTTTGCGCAGGGAGGCAAAGGGCAGGAGGCCAACGAGGAGGCTAAGGACGCCGAGGAGGAGGAGCAGACCCCGCTGGCGATGGGCTACGTTGTCAACTCCATTTCAGCAGCTTCGACTCCCTCCTACGGCTTCGGCAGAGCTGGTGATGCAGGTGAGCAGCAGCTGGACAGGCACTTTGAGGGCTGCTGGAAGGGCTGCTGGCGGGTGAGGTGGGACCGGACGGAGCTGACAAGCACGGCAGGTGTTGACCCTATCAACGGTCGCAGAGTCTTCGAGCTCGACCCCGAGTCGGATGGCAAGAAGAACCGACTGACGCCTGAAGCTGCCGTGCGCCAGGTGAACTCTCTGCTCCTGCTCCTGCTCCTGCTCCTGCTCCTGCTCCTGCTCGTGCCCCTGCCCCTGCTCCTGCTCCTGCCCCTGCCCCTGCTCCTGCTCCTGCTCCTGCTCCTGCTCCTGCTCCTCCCCTGTTGCCGTACTCCCTTTACTCCATTCCTCTTCAACTTGTTTCGCGCTTGGTTTCGCGGTTTGTGACTGAGGGATTTTGCAGGCAAGGTTCAACGCCAACAAAGGAAACGCGCAAGTTGAGGAGGAGAAACATCTCTTCGGCGGTAAGAAGATGATAACGATGATGAAGGGGGGGGGGGGGGGGGAAGAGAAGTGGAGAGTGGGAGAGGAAAGGAAAGGAAAGGAATCGTGGATGAAGATCGAAAGCGGGGGGATGGAGATGGGAAAGAGAGGGATATGAGAAGGAAGGGAGCTGGTGGTGGTGGGGAGGAAGAGAGGAGAGATGGAGCGAGTTGGAGGATGCGGAGTTGACGTGACTTCAGGTACCTTCAACAGAAACTTCGACCGAGGTCAAGCGCCCAGGAAGGACGCGGGAACGGTCGCGTTAGAGAAGGCAGGAGTGAATGTTTGAGGATAAAAGCAGATGATGTTGACGATGTGGATCGAGGACGAGGAGTGGGTGGAGCAGGGATGATGTTGTGGGTGGTGGTGATGGTACAGAAGAGAGAATGGTAAGAGTGTTGACGGGGCAGCAGGAGTAGGATGCAGTAAGGGGAGAAGGACGACAAAGAGGCTAGGCAAGTCACATTGACGTTTTCACTCACAAAAGATTCAATCTACACACTTAAGACGCCTTGTTGACGTTGTACGTCCTGGTAGAAATCATGAACTCCTCCACCTGCTCTCCAGTCAGACTCTTCTCCTCACTCTTCTCCTCCTCCTCGTCTTACCTCGACGCTCACATTTCCGTACAAGAGCTTCACCTTCTTCTTTCCATCCGCTCCCACGTACGTTCTCGCAGTGTACTTGGTCGCGTCTGTGCCCAGCCCTTGCTCCTTGATCTTTCCGTCGAACACCTACAAGCACCGCTGATCAGTCCTCCTCCTCCTCTAGAACTATCCTTTCCTTCCTGCCCTCCTCCTCCCCCCCACCCCCCAACTCTCTCTCCTCCTCCTCTCACCGTTCCACGCGCGCAGTAGACGAGGCACTCATCCGGTCCCGCGTTGTTCACGTTGACGCAGGCGGTCACGTGACCAAGTCCACGCTCGTCCAGCTCGTTCTCAGCAAGAGCCTGCGGAAATGGTGAGGAGGAGGAGGAAGGGAGGAGAGAGGAGGAGGGGACAAGGAGGAGGGAAGAGCACGGAGGAACACGAGCAAGAGCAAGAGCAGCAGCAGCAGAGGAGGAGGAGGAGCAAGAGCAACAGGGGAGGGGAGGGAGGAAGAGCACGAGCAAGAGGAGGAGACTCACCCTGAGGGTGTTTCTCATGCCCTGGACGGACACGATGGCGGCGGCAACGAGGAAAGTGACGTCAGAGCCGTCGTCAGCGAGAATCTCTGTGATGAAGTGAGCAAGAGGAGGAGCAAGACAAGGAGGGAGGAGAGAAGAGCGAGGAGGAGGAGGAGGAGGAGGAGGAGGAGGAGGAGGAGATGAGGAGACGAGGAGGAGGAGGACTCACTGTTATTGGAGAGGAACTCGAAGTTCTCCTCCCCCAGGTCAGCCCTCAGCCTCACGTGCACCCCGTTGTTCGGGTTGTAGCCGGTCAGAGTTCCTACGATGGCCCCGCAGGCAGCGCGAGCGTCACGGAACTTCGACTCCTGCGCCTTCCCGAAGGTGATCTGGCAAGAGGGTCAGCTGCTGCCCTGCTCGGGGGTAAAAGAAGAAAGGAAAGGGGTGGGGGGGAGGGAGGAGGAGGAGGAGGAGTGATGCGGAGCAAGGGAGAAGTGAAGAGGAATGATGGAAGAGGAGGAATGGAGGGACAAGGTTAGGGGAGGATAGAGCAAGGACCTTGTCCCCAGAGTCGTAGTGTCCACAGTGGGTGTTGATGTCGATGTTGACGAGGACGTAGGAATGAGGGTTGCCGTTGTAGATCTGATTTCTGATGGGCTTGTCGATCTGGTGAGCTACTGTGACGTGAGCCAGGGTGGGGCTGCGGCAGAGTCAGAGGACGGAGATGGAGGATGGAGCGGAGACGGGGAGCTGGAAGCAGTGGGTGGGACAAGGGAAGGGAAGTGCAAGAAGGGAGCGAAGAGGAAGAGCAGAATGCTAGGAAGGGAAGGAGGAGGGAAGGGAAAGAGAGGGTTCAGAGGATTTTGGATCTACCCAGAGTCGGTTCCTCCTCCAGTCGGGCAGAAGACTTCGGGCTTGGCCTCACCATATTCGGTGACGGACGCGAAGCGGCTGGCAACCTGAGGGACAGAGGTCAGGAAGGAAGCAGAGCAGGAGAAAAGGGAAGAAGAGGAGGTGAGGTCAAGGGGGAGGGCGAGGAGGGGAGAGGGGCTGGAGAGGGAGGAGAAGGAGGGGAGAGGGGCTGGAGAGGGAGGAGGAGGGGAGAGGGGAAGAGGAGCTCACAGTCTGGGCATAAGCCTTGACAGCATTCTGGCAGATACGATCACCACAGTTGGTGTAGCCACAACTGATCACACAGTAAGATACTCCTCCTCCTCCTCCTCACTCCTTCTCTACTCACGTGGTAAGGACGGAAGGCAGAGAGAGGTCAGCAGCGCAGGCCTGCGAGGTGATCGGATCGGCAGAGTAGCGGTTGAAGCCTGCCCGTGGATCAGCCAAGGCAAGAGGAGGAGGAGAACGAAAGGAGGAGGGAAGGAAGGAAAAGGAAGGAGAAAAGGGGATGAGGAAGAGGAAGAGGAAGGGGAAGGGGAAGGGTTACCGAGCATGAGCTCGTCACGAATGAGCTGGAATCCCTTGGTGAGGACATAGCGATCGGCCACTTGATCCAAGTGAACGTTGAAGGGAGACCTCTCCTCTCCGAACCTGTACGCAACACCCCGTCACATTCCTACCGTTCCTTTCACTCCCTCCTCTGCGCCCTCTCCCTCTCCAACCCGCCTGCCCCTCTCCTCCTCCCACCCTCTCACTTTCCCTCTCCCTCCTCCCCGACTCTCCTCCGCCTCCTCACCTGACGTTGAGCTTCCACATCTCGTCCACTCGCTTCCTCACGATGGAGGAGTCGAAATCCGCCAGCGTCCCGTCAAGCACCTGCTGCGCCGGCCTGCTCTCCACGTTGCCCATCACCGAAGTGTCGATCTGAAGGTCGACCGCGCGGGGCATCGACACTCGCTGCAGCTCCATCCCCCTGGGCAGAGGAGGCATCTCCTTATCAACGTCTCCAGCATACCTCGGCCTGATCTCTTCAGGACGAGGACGGTACTCCCGCGCCTGCGAGGGAGACCCGCTCATCTTGGGGCGATAGCGCATGGGGGGAGGGGGTCCTCGCATCCTGACCCCCCTGTAGTCCATGGGGTAGCCGTACCCTCCGTACTGCGCGTACTGAGCATGCGCGAACTGGATCTGCTCGGCGTCGTTCATGGGGAGCATGTGGGAGAGGCATGAGGAAGGCAGCTCTGCACGAGTGAGGTCAGTGAGTGAATGGAGGAGGAGGAGGAGGAGGAGGAGGAGGAGGGGAGGGAGGAGGAAGATGACGTGGAGAGACTGTAAGCCCTCTTACCCAGAAGGAAGACGAGTCCGCAGACAAGAACACAGGCGTGAAACAGTTGCATCCTCTTCATGTCCATCATCACAACCTGAATCGACGACCGCCTGGAAACAACTCTCCGTCATGCACGGCCAAACACAGTTACAGGCAGGGATGAAGCATGACACCCGAGACTTGAAAGCTCCGCATACACGCACAAGAGCCCTCCCTCCTCCCCCTCCCTCAAAATCAACTTTTCACATACAAGCAAGTTTACAGCACCACATAAAGGGGAAGGGGCACTTCACTTCCCCTCCTCAGATCCCTCCTCAACGACATTCTCCTATCAACCTCATGCTCTTCACTTCACATCATGGCACTCTTTATCCTCGCCTCCTAAAACTCTCTACACCTTCACCAACAATCTTTCTCAACCTCTTTTCAGCCTCCAATTGCTGCCTTATAATGAAATTCGTCCAAATGTCCAAAGAGGAAGAATTTTTTTCGTCTCCACTGCGCTGTTCACATCTCATCTCCCAGTGCTTCTGTATCTACTGCTTCGCACATGTGCTCTCCCCCTGCAACCAACAGCATGTCTGGTCCACTCAGGTATCCATTGAGATGTATCGGGGAAACCTTCAATCATACTCGACTCGTCTTCCAACCCTGTGATGCTGTTCTACAACATCTTCCTCCTCCTTCATCCCTACTTCTGATCTACTTCCTCGTCCGCCTTCACCATCTCCATCTTCGCCTCCACCATCTCCTCTTTCCGCCCCCGCCTCTCCTGCCGTTCCACATGCATGATCGGGAAGACACACAAGATATTGCAAGGGGGTGGGGTAATGATGGGGGTACAAAGTGTACCGGTCCTATCAAAACCCATCTAAAGTATACCGGTTATTATATCCAAAAATACGTGGGATAATGCAGGGTGGTACCCTTTCACACCGGTGGTCTAATCAAAGATCAGCATCTTGATCGAGGGGTGTTCAAGGTACGAGCAAGACCCCAAGAAGTCCGTACAAACTTTTCACTCAATATAGTAAAATTGAGATTCAGATATTACTCATTTTATATTCAAGTAATAAAAGGGCCGACCACCCCATCTCTTTACACCACCACCCCACCCTGCTCGAAAATGCTCCCCACCCCCCTTCTTCAGACAAAACAGTGGGTAGGGTCTCAGTAACAAGTTTAAAACTATTTTTAATTTAATATATATTAACGAAACGTGGGGGTCCTGTAAAGTTGAGGAGGGTGGTGGATGGCAGCAAGGGGTGCTAGGAGGTTATTTCAGGGGGTAGTCTGTAGAAGTACCCCCTTCATGCCCACGAAACCCTGCGGACTCCAACGGGTCATTGATGAGATTGGGGAATGTTCGGCAACTGCTTGTAATTTCAAGGTGGGGGTTACTACCCCTACCAGTCAAATGATTACAAGGAGAGTCGCGCCGAAGGGGTGGCAGGAGATACGTTGGTACGTACAGATATTTCAATATATTCAAATATTCATGGAATATTTGAAACACTGTCCTCTATTCTTTCAAAATTAGCCAGAAAATTTGAATCTTGTTACTCTGACTATTGTGACAACCCCCACCCACCATGACGCTTACAGTACCCTTGACTTTGACGGCTGTCCATTACCCACCCCTACCCCCTGTTTCTCCACTCACCTCCATTTTCCCCACTCTCACTCCCTCCCACCCCTCCGTTTTCCTTCTGACTGACACTTAGAGCCCCTACCCCTACCCCCTAAGATATATCGTATCACCCCCACGTTGACCATATTGTGATTACCCCACCCCCCTTGACAAGGACAAGACCACAGTTAGCACCCCCGCCCCCTTTAAGCCGGCCTGTAAAGAGATCCCACACTCATCGCCCTCATACTACTGAACCCTCATTCCCCACTTGCCCGCTCATTCTAGTATACCCTCATCTCCACGCAAGCCCATTTCAAGTATGTGTGGGGAGGTGGTCACTTCGCTGGCGACGGCGGCAATGCTGGAAAGGGGGTGAAGGAGGAGGGGGGAGAGAGAGGAGGAGGGGGGGGAGGGAGAGGAGGGAGGTGTGAAAAGAGGGATGGAAATGCGCAGGAGCAGAAAGAGTGAATGGAGAGTGCGAGATGCTGATGCCGAGATACAGAGTGGGTCAGTAGCACTGGAACCAGGAACAGAGCAGGGAAGTATAGTTAGGCAGGAACTCAATACTTCCTAGTGCTAGCACTGCAGGAGCGCAGTGGTATCGCTGTGACATCTATCAGCAGGGAGATCCAACGTGTTTGCTCGAGTCTTGACAGATGGTGCGTAAGAGCATGGAGGAGGTTTTACGCTGAAGGTGGATCAGGTGAAGAACGAGGATGACTATGATCAGAAGAAGGACGACGATGACGATGACGACAAGGCCCTGGCACACAAGAAGGGAGACGACGGTGGAGGTTGGAAGCTAAACTTGTTCTTGCTCTCGTGATCATGTCTTGTTGATGTCGTTAAGCTGGTTGACATGTCTTGTTGAACTCATCATACGTGTTTTCTGCGGCTCGTCTGATGTGATTGCAGATGATGATGACGATGAATCGGAGGGAGAGAAGAAGACCGGGCGGCGGGAGCGCAGGGGGCGCGACAAGCGGAAGAGGGACAGGGACAAAAGGAAGAAGGAGGGGAAGAAATCTTCAGACAGCAGCAGCAAGAAGAAGGGAGACGTGGTTGATGACAACATCCTCGACAAGTGCGACGACCCGCACGAGGTCATGGAGGTCTACGGCTGGCCGATGCCTCTCCCCGACGATGCGGGGAGGATCCGAGCGTACAACGTGAGCGCTGCTACCCAGGAGTTCTGGGAGACGTACGAGGAGTACTTCAAGCCTGTGACGGAGGATGCGGTGAAGTCGCTGCTCAAGGAGCCAGACCCCGAGAGCGACACAAGCTTCACCATCCCCAAGCTCGGCATGCCCTGGGCCCAGAGGCCAGGGAAGGATGACGTGGAGGTGAAGGAGGAGGCCATGGACGTGGACGGCGGTGGGAGGGGGGGGATGGCGGGGAGCGGGAGGGCAGCAGGAAGCAAGAGGAAGGCGTCTGAGATGTCGCCAAACGTTTCGGGAGGAGATCAGCAGGAGAGCATGGAGACGAAGCTGCAGACGCAGAAGATGACGATGCGCATGCTCGCTTGCTTCCTCCACCAGGTCGTCTCCCTTCTCCTCCTCCTCTTCCTGGCTTCTGATTCACAGCAGGACGGAATCCCCAGCAGCGCCGACACGGGAGGCACCC